AGATGGAACCATACAAACCCAAACTATTTTTTTTTTTTTTTTTGCTTTTTTCCCCCCCAGTGCTGTAACAGCCTAGAACCACAGATTTCATGTGATAGCTCATATTTTTGTATTTCTGTATTAAAAGCATTGGGGTGGTATCTCCTTTGAGACTGTGATCTTTCCGATGGGGTTTCTGCTGCTCCTTTAATGATTGTCTTACCAACCACTCGTTCCTCAGTCTTTTCTCCCCTGTGTCTGGCTATTGATCTGCCCTGCACAAGCCATGCCTAATTCTGCATTTTGCATTAGCCAGTCTTCTTTTGTCCCTCCACAGCCTGATCATTGCTCCACTACTGGACCGCTCCTTGCTTGGACAAAGTCATTCCTACACAAACCTTTTCAGATTCTTATCTCAAGATCAGTCTCCTCACACCTCTTTCACAACTGCCATTAAAGGTTTGCTGTCCCCATACCCAGACAGCTTTTCTTCTCCAATTTTCATCCCAATATTTCTTTTCTGAACTCTCAGATTTCTCTCCAACTCCACTATTTTCGGATTTCTAGCATCATGTCTGTGCATTATCATTCTCTGTGTCATTCTCCATTAATTTCCAGAATATTCACTATTGCCACTCTAAAAACAATACATTTCTGCTAAGCCTGACACATATTTATCCATCAAACAGAAAATATTTTTAGAATTAAAAGAGAAAATGCTGTATTACTGAGAAATCTATTTTTGGTTTCTGGGCATCATCCTAGGTTCACTGTTAACAACAGAACTGTTCCTATTTGACATTATATCAGATATGGTGTACAGACTTTTTGCTTGTTTATTTGAAACATAATTTTTAGAACCAGAATATTCCCACATACTTTGTCCACACCTGCTGCTGAAAAGTGAGTAAAGAGCACGTGCTTTGCCCAGATCACATGCTAGAACATACACACAGAGCACAATTCCTGCAAAGAAAAAGGCTGCCTTTTACAAACTTTATTTGTATCAATTTATGGGAACATCCTACTGAGTTATTCCTCTTAGGAGAGAATTTTGCAGTCAGGGCACAGGGTTTAATTAGCTGCTTATTAAGCCAGTTCATAAGGAGTGAAACTGGCTATCCTCCACTTTACGTCTGTGGTCAGCTATTTCCTATATTCCTTGTCCAAAGTAAACACCTTCTATATCCATTTATTCTCTACCAAATGTGCTTTGCTACTTGCAACAACAAATAGATTTTCATCCTGTGTGTTATTATTTTCCAAACTGCAAGTAAATAAAAATAATTATCTTACTCTTTCTCATTTTGGAGCTGTTCTATCTGAATGGCTCATGTTTATAAAAATTTCCACTTGTCTTTGTTCTTCTTTTCATTTAATTGCAATTGCAACCTAAACAACAAACTGAAGAAGCCTGGGTTTCCCTCAGGAAGCCACTGACTGCAGGAGAATAGCAGAGACACTGCAACCCCCCCGGCAAGGAGCCACAGTTTCTTGATGCCCATTGCCCAACAGACTGCCACAAGCACAGTGCGAGAGCAGCGTACCACAAAGGCAACCTACAGTCCATAGGTGCTGGGAGCCCTTTTAGACGCCTGGAGATAGGAGTGTTAGTGTCAACGGGAGAGCCTGGAAGAATTAAGAAAGATAAAAATCCTCTAGTCTGAAGGTCCGAAGCCTGAGGTAGGTTTGAGGAACAACCAATTGACACAGCGTGTGCCGAGAATACACAATCTGCCCTGCGCATGCTTTGAAGCACTGGATCAAATCACCTGTTATAAAGGAATTAAGCTGTTCCTGGAGGTTTCAAAGGCTAATACATGCCTTGCCACAGCCCACAGCTCCGCGGCCCTCCAAGTGACAGATGCATTCTGCACCTTAATAGCAGGATTTAGAGCCAATTCCCAGGTTACTCATTTCTGTCCTAAATCCAATCTTGCAAGCTGCAGCTTATTTAACGTGAGGCAGCACTGTCATTCCTCCACAAAGAGCCTTGTCACCTTTCCATTCCTTGCACAGGCAGTCCCATTTTTAGTCTGCTTCTTTCAACGTGAAATCTATCTTCTGTAAGATCAGCAGTTCAACTGTACTGTTGTTCCGCTCATTATTTAAAATTTTGTAGCAGAGGGACTATAACAATAAGAAAATCCACGTCTTACAGAAAAGGTCAGCATGTACTTACGTAATTTGATGCAAGATCAGGATGCAGATAATCAATTCCTGCAATAAGATAATGACAGAACAGAAACCAAAGGTTAAGAGTTTCAAAAAAGATTTTCTACTGATCACAGAACAAAACAAGATTCCTTTGCAACCACAGGAAAATGATCATGGCAAATAATGCAACTGGTTGAAGTGAGATTCCAGTTTTTAAATATGGACTTTTAAACTGGTTTACCATTTCTGATGCAGTCCCAGCTAGGAGTTTTCACTCATTTATGTCAAAATCCAGGTCCCAATTGAAAAGGTGAGCTCAGCGACTAAATTTATTGACCTGTTTTGTAGACTAGATCGTATCTACTTATTCAGATTAGTTTAAATCACAATTTATCTTTATACAAGTTCTACCATCTCAAAGCATACCAAAACTAACAAGATCAGTAAGCACTGGGTCAGTACAGGATATAGAAAGGAGTATTTTTAACCACGGAAAATTGTAAACTAAGTAGAAAGAAAATTACCTAAACTAGACTTGGGGAGATCACTAAGGCAAACATTTTGGGTTATGCGTATGAAAGAGAACACTTAATGTTGGACTGGACCATTTTAGCAAATATGTGAGCATAGGCTCCGCACTTTGGTAGCGTGCTAAAGATTGTAACAGGGCAGTGGTGTGGAATATACTCATTCTAATGCATGGTATCTTTCTACGTATGGCAAATATACAAATCCCAGTGGACGGTGTAACAGAAGCAGCAGATCTACACTCAGACGGGATAAGCTGACCTATTACATATCCAGTTAAAACGTACAAAGAAATGGCCACCAATCTCATGTTACATTTTGATCATTACTCTGCCCTGTGTCTCCAACCACCACAGTATTACATGCTCAATTTTATCTGCAAGGAGAATGTCATACTATCACAGTTATTCTGATGAAACCATTACCTCCCCGTTACATAGGGTCCTTCACACTAGATTTGCTTGAAGAGACCCTTATACGTGCGGAGAGCCTTACTGATCCAAACAGTGGATGGACAACAAAAGTCTCAATGAAGAATCATGTTATCCAGGTGCCCTCTTCCAGAGTTATTAGAAGTGAATATAAGGCAAATTACCCCCTTCTCTAAAAGCTGTATCTGATGGGCCAACAGCTTTATTTGACCTGAAGCTCAAATAGTCTGTCATCATCCCCACCACAGTCATGCCTAGCTATTCTGAAAGCTAAGTCCTGCCTCTGTGGGATCAATGAAATTGTGATTTCTCTTGACATCACATGAGAGATCACCTCTCACGTGAGATTGCTCTCTCATCAATATACAGATGTCTGAGTCTACTTTCTTACTTCCACAAAAACCTTGCCTTAGGAATAAGCAGATGAGGAACAGAAATAAGTGAGGACAGATCTCAGTTGACCCTAGAAAACATATGTGGATCCAGACATTTTATTTATTTATTTTTAATATTATTCAGTCACCATAAAAGGAAAACATTCAAAATTTAGCCCAAAGAAAAGTGTTGACAGACTGCACAGAATTCCTGTACTTCAGCAAGGAACCCATGAGTAGAACAGCTGTGACTTCAACTGTACCTTTTATCTTCATCTTCCCTGAACTTAGCCTCAAATTAGTAATATCTTTAATATGCAGATCTTTATTGACCTGAAAGCATGAAAGTGTTTAATTATTTCAGCTGTCAAGTATGACTTTGAGAATAATGTAACCCAGAAAACGTTTTCTTAAGTACTTTTTGCACAGCAATTACATCCCCAGTCAGTGCCTACAGAAGTCAAGGGGAGTCTTTCCTTTGGCTTAATGGCCATTATAGCGTGCCCTTGAAGATAGAGAGTGATAATTGCAAACTACTTTTAATGCTCGGATATCCATCCTTCAGTATCCCTAGTGAAGTCTTTATAACATATTTTCCCTGAAGATCTCAAAGTCTTTAGAGAGGCTGGTAGTCTCTACCTGGTAGTGGTAGTCTCACCACTATAAGCAATCCATTATTACTTTTTAATCTTTTTTTGACTTTGATTACATGGAAAAAGCTACTTAAAAATAGTAAATTAGCATGCAGTCTTCACTTACCATCATCCATGATTCCTATGGTAACTCCCTTCCCCGTGTATCCCAGCTCCCACGCCTCAGCTACATTAAGGTCAAGTCCAGGAGTCCCATCTGCTTGACCAGTGTTAATCTAAGGCATCAGCGAAAAAGGAAGAATAGCTTTTTTTACTTGATAGACACATTTCCAAAGCAACTGAATTTTGCTTTATATCTTTGCATGTATCTTTGGTATGGAAAATATATCCCATTTGCTTTCGAGTACACATTTGTACGTAATCATACCCACTGCAATAATGCAGTGGTAAAACAAACAAAAAAAAAAGAAAAAAGAAAAACCAACCCTGGGTAAATTCACTTCTTTGTGCTTTACAAGATTTGATTAAACACTGAATCTTTTGGACCCAAAAAAGAACTTTTCTACTTAAGCCTGTCAGGGCAGTGGGTCAATCCAGACAAAAGTTAGACCAACGGATTTTACAGAGGCCTTTTTAATGAGCAGGAAATGCTTTCTTCTTGAAAGCAGGGTTCTACTGAAATTCATGACCACTGGGTTTAGTACCAGAAACAACTTCCTTGATAACCAAGTTAGCCCTTCTTTAAGCAGGAAAGTTCACCAGATGAACTTCAAGGGTCCTTTCCAACCTTGTACGTGTGTGATTCTGTGGTTCTGCAGTACAGGCAACCCCCTGTATCTTCAGGCATTACTCATGTTCACCAACCTCATTCACAAATTTCTCACATTCCGTGGGAAAAATAATACGGTTTTTGCTGTTCCAGATTTTTTTTCAATTTTGTGTCAGACACATCTCATTTCACAATACATTTTAGTGTACTTTATAATGTAAAAAATGTACAGCTTCACAAAAATTTTATTTTTATCACTGCAACATTTTGATTCAAGTACCAGAAAGAAGTGAATTAATCCACACTTTAGTTTATCATCTCATCAAAGATGAAGTCCTATTCATGTTAATGTGCCCTCATTCATATGAAAACTCGTCTTAGAAAAAAAAAACCCAGCCATGTTGGATGGATCCATAAAACATAAGAAATAGATTCAAAGGAGAGAGAACAAGAAACACTGTTCTTCAGCAAAAAGACCGTTCTTAAGTTAACAACGCAATACTGCATTTACTAAGTATTTCATTATAAATAGGTTGCAACATTAAAGCTGACCAAAATTACTTTATCAACTTTTTAAATAGAAAAATATCATTTTGGCTACTTTTATGTAAAAAAATTAGTTTTTCTTTTATGACTAAAGACTTCTCCCTATAAAATATGACACATTAAAAATGAAACAATTTGTCAAAAGAAATTAATGTTTTGCTATTAGCTTAAGCCAAAATTCATCAGTTTTCAGCTGTTCTGCTTTTGATAGAAGAAAATCAATTCATATTCAAATTTCCATAAGAAAAGAAAAAACTCAGCTTTTTCTAGCCAGTGCACTAGAACTTTTTGTTATAATTCTGTAACAATATTTTACCTGGCAACAGCTCAAAGACATGATTCATAGGGGTTTAGGGGGGGTCACATCAGCACACCAGGAATGCCCACAGGACACCAATACAGTTCTCTTTCAAGCCTTCTAAGGATCTTTCCGTTGACTGAAATGAAATTCAGCTCTTGAAATGTGCTGGGTCTTCCCAGCATAAAAGAGGTACAGTTAAAAACAACAGGACAGAGCCTTGAATCCATTCCCAAGTTCTTGTGACATATTTGGAAAGAACTCTTGCGAAACATTGCAACAGCACAGAATGGCTTGAATGCCAGTTATTTAGTTATGATTACTGTGATTTTCTTTCAAAACTTACCAGGTACCATTGCTTCGTAAATAAAGGATCATTCATGTTGATGTCAATGTCATTGATGTCTCTATATCCTCGCTTCCTTCTGCTGAAGCCTTCCTGTTGCACAGCTTTCTTTACCTGGAAGGGTTAATTTTTACATCTTTAACTCAACATTCTTAACCACAGATACAAAAATTTTTTAGCCTTGTTTTCATGACGGATAAGGATTATGAAATCACATTATTTGTGTCCGTGTCATTCATTTGCAAATTCTAAACCTATGGCTGATTTCAGTCAAAATTTGCAAAGACGTAGAGAGCTCAAGGACTACTATAGTGGCTGGGGGGGGACACCCAGAAGTGTCCTATCTAGAGGAAAGCTACAGCTTGAACATGTTTTAGATACCTGAGAATTTGCATAAGAATGAGTCTCTATTCTTGAATCTTCCTGCTGTACTTTTCTTTTTCATAGCCAGCATTATCAAAACATTGTTGTTGTTATTAGAAGCTAAAATTATTTAACTAATTCCCAATATGTCACTGTTCCAAGCTACAGGCATTTCATAAAATGAGGATGCAGGTGTCGACCATGCTTTTACTTTTCCAGATTTTTCTCCAGGGCATTTTCAGAGTATTAGATAGCCTTTCCTTCCAAAAAGATCTGCTGGGAGAAAAATATCTGAGGTTGTGGGCTTTTATCATACTCCTGAGGTTCTCAGAAACACGTCTTATAGAGCAATCTACTTTGAGGGATTATCCTTGCAATAAATAAGTGATAAATAAATACATTGGCAAGAAAAACTAAATGGCAAAAAAGCCACTAAAGTGACCAGACTGCCTAAAGTGTAAGTTATAAAAATACTGGTTATGAAACACAAGTAGCCATAGTTTTTTAGAGATCTTTTCCTTTATAAACAGCATATCCACAAAAACATTTAACTAAGCACTGCAGAAGACAAGAGAAGTTAGACACACAAATATCTCTGGAGGCAGGAACTACAAATGTCAGACCATAATCATCTTATTTGTACCCTTGTAAAAGAGCACTCCTAAAGGAGATCACTGAACAGTTGTAATTGTTGTTATAATATGTGCTAACATATTCCTAGACGTTGCAGAAGTGCTGTCAAGTTTGGCATACTCTTCTTGTACTCTTTAGCCTAACACCTGGAACCAAGATAGCATGAGTCCCAGCATTTAATTCAAAATAAAAAAATAATTAAAAAAAAAATCTAGCCCTCTTGATCAAAGAGGAATGCTTAAAACCATGAACTGAGTACACCTTGAGGTGCAGCCAGAAGGCAGCAAAACCCCTAACATTTCCTTAGGCATTTTCTTGAAAAAAATGCATGGTTATTAAATAAACCTAGTAACTCAGAGAACCCACTTCTACATGTGTGGCTTTGGCATTTCTGATTAAGACGACATATACAGGAGTTACACTACTGTGCTGCAGTAACTCATGTAGTGTCTGTCAAAATCAACAGAGGAGAAACTCATCCAAAGGCTAAATCAGATCTTAGGTCAGTTGAGTCATTCTTGGAGGTGTCCTTCTGTCTCCGTTAATTAAAGCAGGAGCCTCAAAAGACAGTGTTCAGTGAGGTGCCTAAGGCTGAGATGAAACTGGGATCTAACTGATGGGGGCTAAGAACCATTTTCCTCACAGCTATATTGCTTCATTATAACCGTGAAAACTTAATACCAATTCATAGTGAGCAGGATGGGGCAGCGTGCCCTGCAAAGGCAGTATCAAATGCTTCTAAAAATCTACTTGCATGAACTCTAACTCCTTAACTAAAGGTACCAAATGATAAAATATTTAATTGGTAGGTGCTTTCATTTATACGTGTGTTTCCATTACTTGTGCAGGTTCATTAAAAGCGGAGCAGACTGAAAAGAAAGAAAAAACCTAATACAAAATAAGCTGGAAAGAGGGCAGTGATTAAGTAGCACCCATACTAGGTGTACTTAGTGGCGCCAGGTACCTGAACAGAGTAACCAAAGGTATAAGCACACTGTTTGATACCTCTAAGATAAGGCTCAGTGATGCCATGGAGACAACAGAGCAATCACCTGTCATTATGGCTTCCTCCTTTCCCACCCCTGCCTCTCTGCTTGCGACTGCAAACCCCGAGCTGTCACCACAGAAAATCATTATGAACAGAAGCCAACCCTCACTTAGAGGGATGCCAGAGAAAAAGATTTCATGCATTTGTGCTCCCACGCAAGCTTGCTGGCTCTGCAGGGCTGAATTAAGGCACTGAATTAGGATTTAGTACGAAAGGATTTCTACTAATTAAAAAGCAATGCTTCAGAGCCCTGGCTTTTCTTTAAGACAACCCAGAGGAAGTGGGGAGCAATTTGCAGAAATAGCACAGGCTGGTTTCCCTCTTCAGGATCGTCTCATTTGTCTGATTTGTTCCGTCTTCACAATAAAATACAATTTCTTTTTTGTATTATATTACATTATATTATAATTTCCTGAGACAAGGAAATATACCCCTCAAGGAGGTATAACCTTCTCTGAACTAAAACCACTCTGTAGGCTGTTTTCTGAATCTCTCACATGGAGAAAAGGCATACAGGATGTTACCATCCACAGAGGTAACAGTCTCAGAAATTCTGAGGCCTCTTTTTTCACTACGGAAACAAGGGGGTTTTCCTCATGTTCAGTAATGATGGTAACTCATACAATCGCATCCAGAAAAGACTAGGCACTTCTGTCATGAAATGAGTTGAAAGGTTCGGGTAAGGCCTTGGTAGCTTCTCACTTACATAAGCTACAAATTGCCTCATTCAGTTGCCTTGTATAACCCTGCACGAAGCAAGAACTTGCCTTTCTCCTGATGAAACTGTATCTAGAAAGCCATGAGCCCAAGATCAGATAGCATCCATATATTCCAGAGAAAAATCTCCAATAAAACAAACTTATAATTGGAAAAGGGTGATGCAAATCCAATTACTTGAGCGGAGAACTGCCCATTTAGGGCTGCAGATAGCTGACTGAGGAGAATCCTAGTCTTCTTGCCAACTGGGTATCTGCATTAGAAAAATGGTGTTTTTCCAGAGCTGGAAACTTGTGCTTTCGTATCTAGTCTAGATCAGGAGAGGGACCGCACCTGATTCTGTTTCTATCTTACAGTTTTCTTCTTAAAGAAGAGCTGGCCTCCCTGTGACATCAGTAACATAAATGCATTAAGTATCACGTCACAGGTAATATGTTTCAAAAACACATACAAGAGAGAACATCTTTGCATGTGCAACAGCAGAAGATCATTGGAAAACACTGTGATCTTATAACAGCCATAATCCCATGTACTTGTGTCAAGTTCAGACCTGGAATCCAGCCCTCAATCCAATGCACAACACAACCTCATGCCATGTTTCAAATACTTGTTTCTCTAACTGAAGCAGGAAAAACAGCATTCGTAAGACTCAGGCTTCTGATAATAGCATCTCCAAATGATTTGAGTCTGTGAAGGCCTAGTGAAGGAGCGAGATCTTCTTACTAAAATAGCATGAATTTTACTGTCTCAAAATTAGGCTTATTTATCAGCAGTAACAGCCTTTTGTTTATTTCATTCTTAATTCATTTATTTTTTCTTTGTTAGGATACAGGATTAAGTAGAGAGCAAAATCTGAGCATCTACTTTATTAGCATGTAACTAAATCATGTAAAAGTTACTAGCTGTGTTATAATCAGAATGAAGGTCATGTATCAAAGAAGGTAGCCCATGGATGATAAGATGCTTACAAGGAAAAAAGGTTCAAGTATTGATTTTTAATATACTTGTACTTATGCATGGCGCATAAAGTCACTTGGATGATAATAAACCAGCAGGATACTGATGCAGAACAAATTAACAAAATAATCAATTGACTGCAATACTGCTCCGGGAAGGCCAGAAACCGCAGCACTCTAACTGTGCTCTATGCTCCTGTGAATGCCAAGACAATCAGCTCCTCGTTTTGACGGAACAGGGTTAATCGTACTGGTGAGCTCCTGCAGTTAAATGACACTGTTATATTGAGCATAAATGACAGATTTACTAAGTTATACCAGCGGGTGCACAAAAGTGGAACAGTACACACAAACCCCAACCTCAAGAATCAAGAACTTCAGAACGGGAGAAGTTGGGCCAAATTCCAGAGGAAAAAGGCAGTCCCATGACGACATCTAGTAGGCATGGCTTGCTTGGCTTTTAAAAAAAACCAAACAACATAGCAGTGAGATGATCAACCAAAGGAAGTAGTAGTTCTGTCTTCTCTAAAGCCTCAGGGTCAATACAGGTCTGCTCCTGAAGATGAAATAAGAAGTTGGAAACTGATAGCCTGTATTTTTGAAGAAGTCAGGCTGATGGTTGGACTTAGGCCCTATGAATTGTACTGAAGATCAGTCTCCAATGAAGGTGGTTTGGAACAGTGTGTCCAGATGCACGAAGGCATCGTCAAATAAACCACGTTCGGCTAGTGGAAAGCTGTCCCAACTGTCGCTGTCATTAACTTCTGATATCCAAAGAAACATGATGGCAACAAAAGATGGAGGCAGAAAAGTTCAAGTGAGCCAGTGATACGCATACCTAACTCTCTTTAAAAAGTAACGAGAATTGGGTATCGAGCACTTACAGCAACTTTTCAGGGTCTTACCCACAAATGACAACTCCTCTGCTCCCAAACCCCATACAGAGTTAATAAGCGAGTGTGTCTTTTTTGCCTCTTATTTCTGTCTAAGTAAACAGAAAGACATTTAATTTTCCTGTCCACTCCATCCACGTAACATAAAAGAGAGATGTCTGTCAGGAGGCTGGAGGTACACTGATCCCATTCATCATACACAATCATCACCTGTATTGTCCAACAGCTGCTTGCTGGTAAGATGCTCTGAAGATGTCAGAGAGGAGCACCCATCTCACATTCTTCTACATTTTTTTTAAAGCCCCAAAGTAACCAAGTTGTGTGTGACTTTCCACTACAAAATAAAAGGAATAATGCTGACTGTCCTCACTAGAGAAAAGAAAGTACAGACCTACTTGAACTGTAACTAAAGTCAGATGAACTGAACAAAACTGAATCACTTTTAAATGGCAATGGGGACAGCTCATTTCTGCTATTGAACCTGAGGTGGCGAGGCTGCTAGGC